TGGCGTATTTGAACAAAATTTTTGAACATGGCTGCCACCAGTTTTCATTTTTGGTTCATGACTAAAATTTAAAAAAACATAGGTTATGTAATTAGAAAAATAATGCAAAACAATTTTACGAAAAGATATATAGGGTGTTACATTTAAAAAATACCAACTTAAGGTTATCTCGGAAACGGTGGACAAATTTTTTTACTACGCCACTGTATTCTACGTAAAAATATCTAAAAAAACAGTGTTCTTGGGGATGGTATGATCAACATAAATTTAACAGCAGGATAACTTAAATCTAGAACTAGCTTCTTTGTTGACCCAAAGCTAATAGGGTCGCTTGGTATACATACCATTCATTTAATATGGTTGATTTTATATCCACACATACCATCCCTTAAAAAGCACCAATAATATGTATACACATGCACTTGTTTTTTTTCTGTAAGGGTTGGTACGTGCAGATTTAATCTCTCTGACAATAAAAAACACCCCTAAATCGGGATCGACCGTCCCCATGACGCCTACCTAGTAAAAATGACAAAATTTGACAATTATTTTTAAAAACATTTTCCTAAACATTTGGAGGGAGAGCGTACCACCGGGGAGTCTGGAATCCCCCCATCCCCCAGAGCAGAAAGAAACGATTAAATTTTCCTCGAAAACTACAATTTCATTCTGTATAAGCTCATAAATCTGATTTTGCTCATACCCTCCAGAGCTACACTCCCCCCAAAAATCATAATCATACTAATTTTCCTAAGCATTTGCGGGGAGCACTTAGCGCCGGGTCTGGAGAGTATAGAATACCCCCCAGCGCAGAAGGAATCGAATACCTTTGGCAATTTTATTCTGCATATAGGGCCATGGATCTCACTTTACTAGGGAGTATTTATGCTACTCCCTACAAAAATCATAAGCATACATATTGTGTTATACATTTGAAGGAAGCACCGGGAGCACCAATAAAATTTAAACACATGCACTTAATTTTTTCTTTAAGGGTTGATGCGCGTAGATTTAATCTCTATGACAATAAATGAAATACATAATTTGAGTCAAAACGCCCCTAAATGGGAATTATCCGTTCCCATGACGCCTATCCAGTAAAAATAAAGTTTGGCAATTATTTTTAAAAACATTTTCCTATACTTTGGAAAGCGAGAGAGAGAGCGTACTCTGGAATCCCTCCTCCCCCCAGCTCGGCGCAGAAGAAAACGATTATATTTTCCTCGAAAACTAAAGTGACAGTTTCATTCTGGATAGACTCATGAATCTAATTCTGTTCATACCCCCCAGGCTCATTGGTGCTACACTCCTTACAAAAATCATAAGCATACTCCTTAAACATTTGGAAGGAGACCGTAGCACCGGGGGGAATACCCCCTAGCGTAAAAGGAATCGATTACCTTTTCCTGGAAAAACACTAACAATTTCTTTCTGTATAGCGTCATGAAAGAAACTGTCATGGTAGTTTTCTAGGAAAAGTTAATGGATTCCTTCTGCGTCTGGGAGGTATTCCCCTCGGTGCTACAGTCCCTACAAAAATCAAAATCATACTCATTTGCCTAAGCGTTTAGGGGGAGCGCGTAGCACCGGAACTGGAGGGTATGGAATATTCTCATTTTGCTGGGGGTATTCCATACTCCCCAGACTACAAAAATCATAAGCATACAGATTTTCCTAAACATTTAGAGGAAGAACGTAGCACCGGGGGGTCTGGGAGGTATGGAAACGCTCCAGCGCAGAAGGAATCTATTACCTTTCTATGAAAAACTACAATGACAACTACTTTCTGCATAGGGCTAAATGTTACTGGCTATAATCCCTATAAAAATCATAAACATACTCATTTCCTTAAGTAATTGGAAGGAGAGTCTAACAATGAGTGGTCTTGGGTTATGGAATACCCCCACCGTAAAAGAAATCCATTACCTTTTCCTGGAAAACTACAAAGACAGTTTCTTTCTTGATTTGGTAATGAATCTCACTCGGAATCTCACTTTTCTGGGGGGCATTCCATAACCCCCAGTGCTACATTCCCTACAAAAATCAAAGCATACTTATTTTCGTATACATTTGGAGGGAGAGGGTAGCGCCGAGGGGACATCTGGGGGGTATGGAATACCACCCAGCGCAGAAGTTTTCCTGGAAATCTATAAGGATCGTTTCTTTCTGCATAGGGTCATGAATCACACTTTGCTGGGGGGGGGGGGGGGATATTCTATATCCCCCGGTGCTACACTCCTTACAAAAATCTAATTTTCCTGAATATTTGAAAGGAAAGCGTAGCACCGGGGGGTCTGGGGATATTCTCGATTTCCTTTTTCTGGAAAACTACAATGGTAGCTTCTTTCTGCATAGGGTCATGAATTTCACTTTGCTGGGGGTTATTCTATAGCGCTCAGACCTCCCGGTGCTACATTCCCTACAAACATCATAAGCATATACTCATTTTCCTAAAGACTTGGAGGGAGAGCGGAGCCCCGAGGGGTCTGGAATACGCCATGTAATCGATTATCTCTTCCTGGAAAACTAAAATCACAGATTCTTTCTGGATAGGTATATTCCACACCCCCCGACCCACCGTACACTCTTCCACAAAACCTTCAGCCCTTTGAAGTCAAGTCTGGAGAGTATAAAATAGTGGTTTTCGGGAAGAGGTAACCGATTCCTCCTGTGCTAGAGGTATACATTTTCATTGTAATTCGACGACTTAGTTTTAGTTTCTTTAGGTTATGTCTAAAGCTTTCTGAACATTTACACCTCCCTAGTTTCGTTTCGCTCCCTTCAGAATTAGATGCCAAAGTATCAAGCAGTGGACAAAGTGAAACGTGGTTCATACACTGGAAAAAATCAAGCTACTGGACGGATTTTAATGTTCGTAAAAACCATCATAGACCATCTAACGTGGCGAGACACTCAAAGGCAAATGTAGGCTTTCCATTAATTTCTGCGTATTTTTTAAAGTTTTTTTAAATTTTTCTTTTTTGTCGAAAGAAAAACGTACAACTAATTACTTTCTTGAATTTTCCTGAATGCTTTAGTTTCATATTTTTTTTGAATTTCTGGAAATTCCTTTGAATCTCAAATTTCCAGAATCTACCAATCAAACAACTCCTAAATTGGTGACACTAAAACGTGTGTTACTGGAATATGTGAAGGTTATTTAGTGTTCTTCCATTCTATGGAATTGTGTAGACAGGAAACGTTTCAGAAATCATCATCTGTGAGGATACGGTTTAATCGCAAATGATGACAGAAAGTGAAAAAATTCCAAAAACTTGACAACGCTCAGAAGTGTTAAGATTAGGAGCTCTCGGAGGGTACAGATGGCTCAGAGGATCATTAGAACAGTCTGAGAATTCAGGTGGCACTGAAAATTTTGACGGCGATTCAGATCTGAACTTTCTGATGTCTGGAATATTATGAACCATCTCAACTTTAGGATATCTTTAACATTTGAAATTTTCTAAACCTTATGAACCTTTCGAACCCTCGAACTCTTCTGAGTTTTATATATACTCTGGGACTCTAGAATCCCACAAATTCATTAAATCTTCTGAACTATTTAAACCTTTCTAATTGTCTTTTCTAAACCTCGTTAACTTTCTGGATCAAAGTACCTGTACATTGAAGACTAAGCGCGTTTTAAGGGACTTAAGATAATCGGTAGTTGCATCTTCGCATGTTTCTACCTTAAAATCACGAGAAACGCTTTTCAATTGAACTGTTAGCTGACGTATTATGCCATATTTGAAATGTTAAGATTCTGGATATAGCGTTAAAACATAATTTAAAGTTGGGGCACACCAACAAATTTATTGTAGGTAGCAAACAATGAGATCCTGTCCCTCAATAAGTGGCCATTCAGCCACCAGCAACATTTATTCCGGTGTCATTAAGAAGGAATCGATCAGCATTGCTGGATGCCTCGATGAACACCAAATAAGGTAGGTAGAGGTCACTCGAGTGAATATTAAAAAGCGTTTGCTACACTAATTCAAGTATACGAATGAGAATAAAGTGAACCGAAGTTAAAACAAGTTTTAGGGAAGTTGTGCGAAATTCATGCTTTGAAAAGCAAAATTATCTACTAATTTCAGGCTCGTGGGCATCGTTTTAAGCAGGCTACTTTGAAATTCTATTCATGCGAATGGTCATCCTCATTAGTGTTCGCATTCACGATAGTTCGCCCAGTGTATACAAAGTAACTTTAAGCAAAAGCAAATTATTCTAAACACCATCATCATGCGATGGGCCTCTTTTTAATAATTTTATTTTTGGGCGGGAGTTTCTAAAGTCGGTTTAGGCTAACGACACTTGTAATACCCGAGACCATGGATGAAGTTGCACTTAAAAGCTCGAAACTAAAACAACACGCAGATGACGCGTGCAACCCATGCAAATCGTTCGTAAGCAGCCAACGGCAGCTGCAGTAAATGACATTTAAACTTCGCGATAACCCATATTCCATTCAGTAACTTTCGGAAAATGGCGTGTCCAATTTAAAAAACTGTCACTGTACTCTAATGCCCTCGAGGGAAAGACAATTGGGGTAAGCGTAACGGTCAGAAATCAAACGAGCTTTTCGAAAGCTCATCAATAAACAGCGTCCAATTCGCTTTTCTTTCATATTGAAAAACAAACCAATTAACGACGGTATTAGTTACGTTACGAATAAGGTAAATGCATTCGGTTTTCAAACAGCGAACGAGAGGGAAAAAAGAGATGAATGGGATATTTGAAAACTTGGACAAAAGCAACCCAATTATATTTAATCCCTAGACTGCATTCTGAGCTTCCCGGCAGCGTCGGATATGAAAGTAACAAAAACAATTTTAAAAATGATCTATCTTTCAGTTCTCGAACAAATTGAAAGAAAATGTAATAAAAGTGGAACTGTGAAAAAGAATTATCAAGTTAGAAAATTCTCCGCGTTGTAATTCAGATTTCTCCTTTGATTGATGAAAGAGCGAATTTGAATAAAATTTCATCTTAACACTTACCGGCCCAAATTGTTCGAAGTAACTCTTAACGTCTTCTAGGGTTGTCGGCGCCGAAAGACCGCCTACAAATATTTTTTTCGTCCTGGTTACCATCTGCAACAAAAAGGAAAATTCTTAAACCAATTGAGTTGAATTCAGATCAATAATTAACTTTCATTCATAAAAACAAAGTAGTTTTGGCGTCATTTTGAAACCCTTCGTCCCACTTGAGGAAACATATAATTCCTTAGCCGAAGTGTTTCAATTGCACTTGTTTGATTAGGTACTAAAGGACAAAGCAAAACTCAATGGACATTTTGTAGTTTTTCTCTCTTCCGGTTTTAAAATTGTAAAAATCTACAATTTACACCATTTTCCGTAGTCGTGTATGTAAAGTAATTCAAGTTATATCATAAGATCTGGGAATTTGTTTTTCAAATAATTGGAAAAAATGGTCGAATTGTTATTTTAATGTTAGGTACTGTTTTAATTTATTCGGTAATTGTTCAATTCTATTTGTTGTGTTTATTTTTTAAACGGGTAGCTAAGGGAACATTTAATCGACATTTTTACGTGAGTGTAAAGTTTTATAATAATAATAATAATAATAATAATAATAATAATAATAATAATAATATTGCCTTTATTAAAAAAAAAACAATAATAATAATAAACAACAGAAAAAGTTAGTACACGGCGAAGTTCAGATTAGCCGTAAAATAATGCCATCTGTTCTTACACTTAACCTTGCTATTTTGAATTCCGATCCGCGAAAAAGAAGAAAATTACATTATAAAAGAAGTACAGAATATCAGAAAAGATGAAAAAAAAATAGATAAATTAAATTGCATCAATTTAGGTGTACTATAATCTTACCGGTATAAATATTTGAAAATTTATCTGGTCAGGTGTTGGTAAAAAAAATTGTTATCGAACATGAACTAATTGGTTCTTCGGCAAACAGTGCGAGATAAGCGACGCAGGTGTTCTATCAGGTCTGGCGACCTAGAGGAATCTTGAGTGTCGTCGGGTTAATAACGATGTTGAACTTGTTAGAGGAAGTGGTTTTTACTTAAATAGGAAGAACGAAAAGTAAACGAGAAACGTGTCTTTTTGGATGATAAAATTAAGAAAATGCGATTTTTCAATCATGTGATTCTAGAAACCTTTTCTTCTTTTAAGCAACGTAAACCCTTAATTCTACGACAAAGTTGGGTACCTAACTTTGTGCACTTTGAAAGTGCGCTTTTAGCTTCTCTTTAAAATTCAATTACTAGACAAAACACTAAGACTAAGACAATATCAGAATGAAAACCAAGGAATGTCCGGATGTCAGGGTGTCCATATTTGGTAGTTTAGTTTAGTAATATCAAAAATGTGAAATGGATGCGCAGAATTTTTTCAAAATCTAATTTTGACATATCTGACTAAATTATAATATACTATGTCCGTTCAGCTGTACGTCCGTCAAAAAAATGCGCTAAGGTAAGAGAAGCTTTTTTTCACTTAGAAAGAAGCTTTGTGTAGGTTGATTTTTCAGTCATAACTCTAATCCACCCCCAAGAAACAATACACAATCGAAACTACATCCCAGGTAATTTGTGCATTTCATTTCGGGTTCTTTTCTGCGGGATTAATTATCTTTCATTACCGCAATTCTGGAAATTATTCGATAATTCATTCCGTTTGCCTTAGGGACTACAACGAAAGAGCTTAGTAGATAACCAAACCCGAAACTCTTAGATTATATTTCTCGGATGAGTGTCTCTAATTTCCCCGTACTTTATTGACCCGGTTACCTTCTTCCACGCTGTGAGAAAGGTCGACATTTCGAAATATCCTAAAATTCAAAACAGAACGATCGATATTTGTCAAGAACACCCTGCGTCTTAAGCGAATTAAGAGAGAGCTTCCGCATAAAAAGCATTGCAAATTTATACCGAAAGCGACCCCGCCATTTTCCTGTAAGGGATTTATTTATATTATCCGAAAGTTTAAACCGAACAACGATGTCCATTCGAATCGTTCGACATATCAATTTCGAGGATATCCGCTGGCCGTATTTGGCGCCAGAAAGCAATTTAAAAAAGTTTAAGATGCCATAATGAAACGAGAAGTGCTTCCCAAGTTGGAAACAGTAAAGCCATAATGTATATTTATGTACTTGTAAGAGTTGTTTGAACATGTTTAGCACGGGCACGAACTTCCTTATTAATCATGCCGGGACGACGCAATGAAGCGATTTTGAAGCGCACAAAACTTTATATGACAACCCTCGGCGTTGTGCCTTTAGATTAAATAATTTAGTGCCGTGACATTTTACATCACATAATAGTGTGGATGGATATAATTGGTGCTGTTTAAATTTTCGTCTACGTATTAAGTTTTAGTTGCGTATAAGCGTGCCCGTTTCTCATTTATCACAACGAATGTCAGAGGTATACGCTACTATATGAACTTATTAATTAATTTTAAACAAATTGCCGCTTTGGCATGTACGGCTGTAGCTTTGCGAGTACAAAGTGTATAATTTATGAGTTTTGAACATACGGGGGTCATGAATAGAACATGTCAGCTGATCGAATACGACCGGGGGGTGCTACGGAAAGCGCCACCTTTTGCAAAAAGGAAAAGCGGCGTTTTTTAAGAACTGATTAAGTATTTCTCGATACAAATGAACTGCAGGCACCAAGTAGCTGGAGCCCGAAATTGTATTACCTACTGAAAATCTCATTCAATTTGAGGCCGTTTCTCGTCCTGCGATGTACCATTTGTGTAAATCACATTTCGCTCATCCCCCTTTCTACTTTTTATTTCATTCAGGTTATTTCTTCTTCCCTCGCCCTCTCCGCGCCACCCACGGTTTAGCTTTCTATATTTGCTTTGAGCCCTACAATAAAACACAGGACTTATCAAAAGGTCGGATTATTTTAACGCGTCAAATATGAAATATTCATACCTTTTTTTTTCTCTCCAACCTTTCGCCGCTCGCCATTACTTAATGAGTATTATTTCCGAACGCTGCCGGCAGAAATCAATCTCGGTCGATTGGCGGCCCTCGTTAAAGAAATACGCAAAATTGTGTCATGGAAAAGGGGAGCCCCTTTATTCATTAAACCTTATCCGAATATTAAAATATCGAGCGCCGGCTTTGCAAATTTAAATGCCTCGCCCGAAAGAAACTCGCTTTTCTGCACTACGCCGCCAATAATTTGCAAATATTTTTATACTACCCTCCGAACATTGTGATACGCGTTTTAAAATTGGTAAAGTACTAGATTTATACTCGGGGAATGAATAATCGTCGACCGCTTTCCAACGACAACAAAGCGGTTTATCCTATTTATATTATTGTGCGCCCTTCAAACGTTTTGGGTTTAGTTTTCAAGTTTAGCTTACAACCCTCGACCGTTTTAAATCAATTTTGATTTTATACGTGTGCGAATTTCGATCTTGACCTCATATTTCTAAAAGGGTCACCCATTTTTATGAAACCGGTCCGGTCCCCCATTCTTTATTTATTGACTATTTTATGAGTAACACCCATTATTTCCAACAGCCTGAAAGTACTGAAGAAAAAAGGTACATGGAGCTCTGAGATGTGTCGTACTTAAAATGACTGCTTTATAATTATTTTTTTGTCGTGGAAAGGTCACCGACATTTGTACAATTATCACTTTTTTATTTTATTTAGTAATTTTATTAATACGGCATATTTATTGAGGCTTGGCGTTACTGAATTATGTTTTGTTGCCTTTATAATATTTTATTAAGTATTTATTTATGTATTCACGTATATTATCAGTGTGATATTGCTCTGTATGCGTCAACTAATCATACAGTTCCGATTTTTCGTTGTATGTGTTGATTCCTCCCTCGTGCTAACATACCCTTTTGATGTGTTTTTTGTGCATGCCATTTATCATTTTACGTGTTATTTTGTTCTCCCTAAATTGAACAGTAAATGTGATTTGTACTAAATTTATGATGTCTCTTATGTTTATTTTTAGTAGTTTGTTTAACTGCATTTGACTCGATATCTGATTTTTATTAAAGTACAATTTGAGATGTGATGTCTGGAACGAGGTCTTGTTATGTTATGTTATGCCAAATTTCGTCAAAGTTTTTTTCCTGGCCCCTTGTTATGTGCGTAATATATTTCATTTTTCCTGCCTGTTCCTACGCACAAAACGAGACAAGACTAGGATTCTGTGCAGATTTACATACTCCTCAGCAAAATAAAATTCGATGGTTTTCCCCAACGATCATGAGAATTTTAATTGTTGAGCGGTTTTGAAGAAAAAGTAGCACCAGGGGGCCTGGGAGTATGGAATATCCCCTAGCATATACAAAGATTTAATTACCCTTTCGCCTAGACTGCCATAGGAATGTTAGGACTTAGGGGTAGTATATAGAATGAATTATCGGACCTTTCTTTGACGAGTGTACTCTCTGTTGGAGAAAACCCCCCGGTAATACGTTCTTTTCCAAAAACCTTCAGCGCCCCACGATACTTCTCGAGACAAGTGCAGAATGAAGCTGTCATAAGAATGTGAAATGTTTAGCGGTATTGAAGAATAAGATCGGGGGGTTCGGGCCCCCAGCAAATACAAGGTTTGACACCTGCGTGAAGACAGCAACCAAAGATAGCAACCATTTCTCCGAAGATGCCCGAATACCACAGAAATACAAAAAAATGTAGATTGCGTCCACCTTTACAATCAAGCAATGCTGCTATACATATCCAATAAACAGATGCAAAAATAATTCCTTGCAACCCCTTGCGTCACATAGAAATCCACCCCCAATGTGTTTATAAATTGAATACGGCAAAACGGGGGTAGTTATCACTTTCTAGTTGGTGCAGAAAAATACTGCTATACATATCCAATAAAAGATGCAAAAATAATTCCTTGCAACCCCTTGCGTCACATAGAAATCCACCCCAATGTGTTTATAAATCGAATACGGCAAAACGGGGGTAGTTATCACTTTCTAGTTGGTGCAGAAAAATACTACTATACATATCCAATAAAAAGATGCAAAAATAATTCCTTGCAACCCCTTGCGTCACATAGAAATCCACCTCCAATGTGTTTATAAATCGAATACGG